GGCTGGATAAGTCTTTGTGGAAGGACTGCATAAGTCTTCCATAGCGTGGTGGTTGTTGGTCGCTGAATAAGTGACCAGTGGTCGTGAGGCGGCATTAGGTTAGGGTGACTAGCGGATGTTAGGCCTGTGCATAGTGTAGCTATTACGCTGTGTGAGCCGGTGCGCTGCGCTGGATAAGCCGGTGCGCACGGTTGTCACTGCGCTGTACAAGTGCCGGGAGCACTTGTAATAGTCGTGTGCTAGATGTTAGTGCCGTGCGCCGCGCTGCATAAGCCGGTGCGCTGTAGGTCTTGTCTAGCCCCTGTTAACGTTCGATGTGTATTGTGATCGTGAGTCCCGTGACAAGTAGCACGACCCTGTTTATTGTATGTAACTGTATCATAGGTTTGCCGTATTAAAATCCTTTGTAAATAATACTAATTATAGTCTGATTAAGTTTGCTTGGGTCCAATTTATATAGGAAGTCTCTGCGCTACTAAGCAAGTGCTCTAAGGCGAAGCTACCGCACAGCATATCCCGAGAGGCACTTGGGACGGACCAAATAGGTACCGACCACGGTGCACGTTACATATGTATGTGTTTCTATCTATTAGTTTAAACAGTATTTTATTCATTATATGGCAGTGACAAAATATTACAAAATCAACAGAGAGGATTCGAAAACAAGTACCTAAGTACTTATATTAATTCGGCTCCTTATTAATAAACCCGGCAGTGGGACGGCACTGTTACATATATTTTGATAGTATAACAGACAAAGAGAAGAAGAAGAAATCAAGGGGGAGGGTGGAAGGGGTGCATCAGGAAATGAAAGAAAGTGGTTATGAAGAGAATAACGAGAAGAACTGCATTACTTAATTGAATCTGGTTGGAATGTGATTCATGAAAAGGTAAGTCTAATGAGCTCTATATAAGGATGCATTAAATACATTGGACATCTCTAAATTGCTTTACGTTGATTCCAATCAAAAAGTATACTGATATCCTGCAAAAAGCAAGAGTGTTGTAGTCTATATTAATTCAGTATCAACAAAACTCATTAAGTCTAAATATCATACTGGCATGTCACAAGTTGTGTCGAACAACATAGGTTTCAAAATCAATGTACAATAATTACAAAAAAAAAAAAAAAAGTCTTGCACTAAAATCGTTTCGACTTACAGATAAATTTTTGGACAGAGTCAAACATATTTAAGTTATATTGATCTGGCATATCAGGATTTCCATACAGCAGCAGATTTAAATTATTCCCATGAGGAAGATTTCTAAAACATTGTAATCTTAATTGTTCGAAGTTAGGACAAAACAGGAGAAAGTGATCAGTAGTTTCAGCAGAACGGTTACAAGAACACATGGGACTTTCAACTAAGTTACGTAAAAATAAGTGATTTTTAAGGGAACTACAGTTCATCCTCAGTCGAGCGGGGTGAATTTGGCCAAATCTACTTTTGCAGTAGTAGTAATAGGAAGGAATATGATTATTGAGATGATAGTCTACATTCACGGACTTCTTAAGGTTAGTGAGTGATGGGTTGTCCTTAACGTCATCCGGAAGAGCATTCCATAAGTCAACAGAGGAAGGTAGAAAAGAATCTTTATAGAGTTTAGTACGACATCTTATTTGACAGAATTTATTCGCGTTTCTAGTATCGTGGGAATGAATGTCAGAATGACGAGCGGGGAGAATGTTAGTTAAATAGGAGGGACACTGACCATGAACAATCTTATGAAGTTGTGTTATTTTATGTTTTCGTCTTCTTTCAATAAGAGGGTCCCAACTAGTTTCTATCTATTGTTTTGTTTACGAATCTTTCCAATGACTTGACTAATATTAAGCTGTGGGCCACTAAATGGGACTTTAAATTGAATCCTTCTAAAACCGAATCTGTAATTTTCTCAAGGAAAACTAATAAGAATCATCCTATTGTTACCTATTATGACGCACCAATTGTTGAAAGCAAAATACATACACATCTGGGCCTTAAACTTAGTGATGATGCCAAATGGAACCAAGACATATCTAATATATATGAAAATGCATTTAAAAGAATAAATATCTTAAGCTAGGTTACTAAAAAATAAAGTTGATAGAAAATCCGTAACAACCTTATATATATCCTACATAAGACCAGTCATTGAATATGCAGATGTTGTGTGGGACAATTGTACACTAGCTCAAAACAAAATATTAGAATCAATACAATTAGAGGCTGCAAGATTAATTACAGGTTTACGTAGAGGGACATCACATGATAAATTTTACAAGGAATTAGGATGGAAAACTTTGAGCTGCAGAAGAAATAAACATAAACTAATTTTAATGTATAGTATAATGATTAATGAAACCCCAGATTACCTAAGAGAAATTATTAAACCATATATTCATGATGAACCCCTTGACAGATATCCCCTCCGAACAAACAGATTATTTGATCCCCCTTTTTGTCGTACTGTAAACTACTTTGAAAGTTTTTTTCCGTCCATGCTAAATGAAATTAATAGACTTGCCCCAGATATTACCAACATCCAATCTACCGAACAGTTAAAAATGTTACTAACTACAAAGCAATATATGAAATCTGAAACAAGTGATGTTTTTAAATACTTTGGCAATCGTGATGTAAACATTATACTTTGTCAATTAAGAAATAATGCTAGTAATCTAAATTATGATCGTTATAAAAATCACTTTATTGAATCTCCAATGTGTGAGTGTAACAGATCTTTCGAAACTGCTGCACATTATTTTTCTGAATGTAATCAATATAATAATATTCGCTAGACTCTCCAACAGAGTTTGAATCATTACACTCACAATCATCTGTGTATAAATGTCCTACTAAATGGTTGTAATAGTTGTAATGATATACAAAATAGAGATATCGTATCTCATGTATCAAACTTTATATCGCAATCAAAAAGATTTTAATTAATATAATCTTTGACTTATCCATATTTTTTTTTGGAACATAATTATACATTCTTACATTTTTATTTATATATTTTATTTCTATATTTCTTTTCAAGTTATATGCATAAAAGCTTCTTTTTTCTTCTTCTTCTTCTTCTTCTTCTTCTTTAAGCTTAAACCAAGATATGAAGTAACTCCTTTCAATTTAATTAAAGAATTCCTAAATTACTTGCAGGAGTTGGTGTAGCCCTACTTACAAATTATATATCTATTTGCTGAAATTGGCTTTTTGATCCTCAACAGTGTGTGATGGCTAGTGTGTTATACATATGGACTGTATGGCCTGTATCTGTTGGGGGAATAAATTCAATATCACCAAATATTTATACTCAACAGTTAACCTTATATGAATACCAGTAACTCATTGTCTAATACTTGATATTATTCACTGAAGATAATAGTCTAGTAAATATCTCAAATAAAATTTCCCTAGTGAAACTATATCTCAAGAATACTGAACAAGTCTGTTTACATCAAGGAGTTACTTCCCCTTATCCAAAACATCATATCAATGTACAAATATATATCTGTGTTTCTTACCACCTGTTGTCACTTTAAGGAGAGGACTTAGATAGGCTATGCCTGATGTCTGATCCTATTGACTATTGCTTACATTGTCAATAAAATTTGTTGAAATTGAACTTTATTATTTATTTAATATGAGTGTGCATATGTTGAAAAACTGTTAATAATTGCTTAATAATAACTTCTGCTTGTTTTAAATTAAAGCTGTTTTTCGCGCATTGATAGATTACATGTATTTGTAAGTGATGCGGCGCTGAACGGACTCGATTTTTTCTCGGAAACGCTTACATTTCCATCGACTGGAATATTACGTTATTTTCAGAAGCATATATACTCGGAAATATTTAATTAAAGTCGTCCTTTCAATAGGTGATAACGATTCCAAGGTTTTATAAATGCTGAACTTTTGTTTTGTTGTTATTCACTGATGTTATGCATAACTCAAAATCTCGAAACCGAGCCCCTGTGTGATGACGTTGACAAACTTGGTAATTTTGTATCTAAAATGGCGCCTACAATAATTTTGTTGTACCTACACATCTTATAATAAATTTATATTGTCATAATTTGTCAAGTTGCTTTATTTTTTGGCGATGACCTACATTGCTGAATGCTAAAAAACCCAGAAAGTTCTCTGACTATAGGCTTATTGATACCGAAAGTGTCTGGTGGCCCTGTTTGTTTACATAGGACAACTATAGTTGTATTCCTACACTGACCGATTCACTGAAATTTGCAGTATACAGTATCATATACTGGAATTTAGTTTACTAACAACATATAGGCAAATGCAACACAGAATGTAAATATATATAAATATATGTCTCATAAGTAATAACGACAGTATGATCCAATATTGGCACTAGATCCGAACTTACAAATGTTTGGTGGACGCGTATTACTTAAATAGATAAATGGGCAAAGAAGTAATAACGACAGTGCAGACAAAGAAATTTGTCAAATTTTAAGGGCGATCTAAATATATATGTATATAAAACAAAGGACAAGAGTTTCTTCGGCTCATCAGGGGAACTGATTATTCATGTTGACAGGACAACAACACAACATAGAAAGTGATGACGTCATGATACATTATGACGTCACAATACAACCTACCAAAATTGACGCCAAAATTTACAATGCACTTTAACGTCAACATTTGAGGAACAACAAAAATACTGTTAAAGAAATAGATACATGTATATATAGTTACAGGCATGAGTATAGCAACATATTTTTTACATACATTTTATTTATTTACTCGTGCACCGATATGTGCTGTTAGAACAATTTAAACCTGTATATATTTTGATATCTTTGAATCAACAAGTACCAACGGCTTAACTTGTACAAGATCCTCACCTTAGGAAAATAATATCAAATTTACCTGTATCAGCATCTCGCATGTGTCAGTATCACAACTGTATCATTACGGTATCTGCATTAGTAACACATATATATTATCTCCTTTCCATATATAAACCCGAACTTAACCGGCACTTACCTATATCCGATCATTCTGCACACAACTAGCACATCATTTTGTCCCCAGCCACCATCATCACACACGGTACCCCAAATTCCGGCATGGAAGACCTCCACTCGACCAGAATTTTCTATATCACCGTTTACCAAGCGGACATCAAAGGGTAAAGTGGTTGTCTGAGCTGTTCAATAAAATACAATGTCATTTGATACTAATATAATTCTGTAAAATTATTTATACCTGTGTGTTTCCATTTCAAATCCTTTAGATCTTTAATTATTATTTGTTTATGATCACGTTTAGATCCGTCATATTCCATTTTTCTTTATTAGAAGTTTTTTTGTGTGTTATATTCTGGATTGACATAATTCAAGAAAATCATCCATTTTAACTTTTTAAATCTGATGTAATAATACATAATAACGCACAATATGAAAATTAGGGTATACATTTACAAAACCAGTTAAAAGTTTACAGTCAACGGGGAGTGATAATCAACCAGCTGTATTAACCACCCTGTTACGTAATATGTTCACTAAAATACATAGAGTGTGAGAAACCTATCTCAGAATTCTTTTCAGCAATCGTCAAACAAAGTAAAGAACGAAAAGGAAGGATGCCTATCAAAACACTTTACCGTTACTGACTTTTCATTCTCAAGAAAAATAAAAACGCATACAAGATAAAAGAAAAGTATTTAAAAATCAACGCAGGTACACAGAAACATGAAGATTTATACATGGTGTATTAGAAGCCATAAAAAGATTCAAGAGACAAAACAGACAAAAATTCGATATTTATGATAAATCCAGACCTCAACAACTATAAGATATCAAGTGTAAAGGAGGCACGAAAGTCTAGTAGTAGGACGCCGGGCTCGTGACCGAAGGGTTGCGGGTTCGAGTCACGGCACGGCACTGTGTTGTATCTTGAAGCAAAGTACTTTACTCAGCTTGTTCCAGTCTACTCAGCTGTAAATGAGTACGTGGTTGGGCAGCGCTAGAATTGTTGAATGTTAGCTGTTAGTGCCGAAATGGCAGCTCCGGCTGTATGCTCCCCAGGGAGTTTAGAAAGGTATTGGCTGGTTGCAAAGGCCATTTAATCACGGATAATAATTTGTGAACCGCTTTGAAACCACCTACGAACTAGGATGTGATAAAGCGGTATATAGGAACCTCGAGTTTTGATTATTATTACAAACAGAGGAACAAATGATAATCACGATTATCAATAAAACAATATTAATTTCATAAGCAATCAACACTGAGGTGACAACTATAACTTTAACTGAATGTAAATTAACACATTAATGAAAATACAGTTACATCAATGCATTAGAGTACTTACCGAGTATATTTTATTCTGCTAACAGATAATTCATTCTGTTAACAGATAATTTATTCTGTTAACATATAATTCATTTTGTTAACATTATATGATTTTTTCTGTTAACAACATATTATTTATTCTGTAACAAACAGATAATTTATTCTGTAAACAACTGACAAATTATTCTGTTAACAGCAGAAAATTTATTCTGTTCACAACAGATAATTTATTCTGTTCACAACAGAAAATTTATTCTGTTAATAACATATTATTTATTCTGTTAACAACTGACAATTCATTCTGTAAACAACAGATAATTTATTCTGTTAACAACTGATAATTTATTCTGTTAACAACAGATCATTTATTCTGTTAACAGCAGATAACTACTTCTGTTATAAACAAATAATTTATTCTGTAAACAACATATCATTAATTCTGTTATAAACAGATAATTTATTCTGTTGACAACAGATAATTTATTCTGTTACCAACAGATAGTTTATTCTGTTAACAACATATAACTAATTCTGTTTACAACAGATGATTTATTCTGTCAAAAAACAAATATTTCATTCTGTAAACAACAGATAATTTAATCTGTTAACAAGAGATAATTTATTCTGTTGACAACAGATAATTTATTCTGTTGACAACAGATAATTTATTCTGTTAACAACAGATAATTAATAATGTTAACAACAGATAATTTATTCTGTTAACAACATATAACTAATTCTGTTAACAACAGATAATTTATTCTGTTAAAAACAAATATTTTATTATGTAAACAACAGATAATTAATTCTGTTAACAACAGATGATTTATTCTGTTGTTAACAGAATAATTTATCTGTTGTCAACAGAATACATTATCTCTTGTTAACAGATTAAATTAAGTCATTAACATATTAAATTATATGTTGTTTACAGAATAAATTATCTGTTGTTCACAGAATAAATTATCTGTTGTTCACAGAATAAATTATCTGTTTATCTGTTGTTAACAGATTAAATTATCTGTTGTTAACTGATTAAATTATCTGTTGTTAACATGATTAATTATCTGTTGTTAACATGATTAATTATCTGTTGTTAAAAGAATTAATTATCTGTTGTAAACATAATCAGTGATATATTGTTAACAGAATACAAGATCTGTTGTTAACAAAATAAATCATCTGTTGTTAACAGACTAAATTATCTGTTGTTAACATAATTAATTATCTGTTGTTAAAAGAATTAATTATCTGTTGTAAACATAATCAGTGATATATTGTTAACAGAATAAAAGATCTGGTGTTAACAGAATAAATCATCTGTTGTTAACAGACTAAATTATCTGTTGTTAACCGAATTAATTATCTGTTGTTAACATATTAAATTTTCTGTTGTTTACAGAATATAATATTTGTTTTTAACAGAATAAATTATTTGTTGTTAACAGAATAAATTATATGTTGTCAACAGAATTAATGATATGTTAAAAACAAATATTTTATTATGTAAACAACAGATAATTAATTCGGTTAACAACAGATAATTTAGTCTGTTAACAACAGATGATTTATTCTGTTAACAACATATAACTAATTCTGTTTACAACAGATGATTTGTTCTGTTACAAACAAATATTTTATTCTGTAAACAATAGATAATTTATTCTGTTAAAAACAAATATTTTATTATGTAAACAACAGATAATTAAATCTGTTAACAAGAGATAATTTATTCTGTTGACGACAGATAATTTATTCTGTTAAAAACAAATATTATATTCTGTAAACAACAGATAATTAAATCTGTTAACAAGAGATAATTTATTCTGTTGACGACAGATAATTTATTCTGTTGACGACAGATAATTTATTCTGTTGACGACAGATAATTTATTCTGTTATCAACAGATAATTAATTCTGTTAACAACATATAGCAACAGATAATTTATTCTGTTACCAACAGATAATTAATTCTGTTAACAACATATAATTTAATCTGTTAATGACTTAATTTAATCTGTTAACAAGAGATAATTTATTCTGTTGACGACAGATAATTTATTCTGTTATCAACAGATAATTAATTCTGTTAACAACAGATGACTTATTCTGTTAACAACAGATGATTTATTCTGTTGTTAACATTATTAATTATGTGTTGTTAACAGAATAAATAATCTGTTGTTAACAGATTAAATTAAGTCATTAACATATTAAATTATATGTTGTTTACAGAATCTGTTGTTAACAGAATAATTTATCTGTTGTCAACAGAATAAGTTATCTCTTGTTAACAGATTAAATTAAGTCATTAACATATTAAATTATATGTTGTTTACAGAATAAATTATCTGGTTAACAGATGAAATTATCTGTTGTTAACAGAACAAATTATCTGTTGTCAACAGAATACATTATCTCTTGTTAACAGATTAAATTATCTGTTGTTAATAGAATTAATTATCTGTTGTCAACAGAATACATTATCTCTTGTTAACAGATTTAATTATCTGTTGTTTACAGAATAAATTATTTGTTGTTTACAGAATAAATTATCTGTTTATCTGTTGTTAACAGATTAAATTAAGTCATTAACATATTAAATTATATGTTGTTTACAGAATAAACTATTTGTTTATAACATAATAAATTATCTGTTGTCAACATAATAAATTATCTGTTGTTTACAGAATAAATTATTTGTTGTTTACAGAATAAATTATTTGTTGTTTACAGAATAAATTATCTGGTTAACAGATGAAATTATCTGTTGTTAACAGGTTAATTATCTGTTGTTAACAGGTTAATTATCTGTTGTTAACATATTAAATTATCAGTTGTCAACAGAATAAATTATCTGTTGGTTACAGAATAAAATATTTGTTTTTTAACAGAATAATCATCTGTTGTAAACAGAATTAGTTATATGTTGGTAACAGAATAAATTATCTGTCGTCAACAGAATAAATTATCTGTCGTCAACAGAATAAATTATCTGTTTATCTGTTGTTAACAGATTAAATTATCTGTTGTTTACAGAATAAATTATCTGTTGTTAACTGATTAAATTATCTGTTGTTATCAGAATTAATTATCTGTTGTTTACATAATAAAATATTTGTTTTTAACATATCATTAATTCTGTTATAAACAGATAATTTATTCTGTTACCAACATATAACTAATTCTGTTTACAAAAGATGATTTATTCTGTTACAAACAAATATGTTATTCTGTAAACAACAGATAATTTATTATGTTATAAACAAATAGTTTATTCTGTAAACAACATATCATTAATTCTGTTGACAACATATAATTTATTCTGTTAACAACAGATGATTTATTCTGTTAACAACAGATCTTTTATTCTGTTAACAATATATCACTGATTATGTTTACAACAGATAATTAATTCTGTTAAAAACAAATATTTTATTCTGTAAACAACAGATAATTAATTCTGTTAACAACATATAACTAATTCTGTTTACAAAAGATGATTTATTCTGTTACAAACAAATATTTTATTCTGTAAACAACAGATAATTTAATCTGTTAACAACAGATAATTTATTCGGTAAACAACAGATAATTTATTCTGTTAACAACAGATTATTTATTCTGATACAAACAGATTATTTATGCTGTTACAAACAGATAATTTATTCTGTAAACAACAAATAATTCATTCTGTGGACAACAGATGATTTATTCTGTTTACAACAGACAATTTGATCTCTTAACAACAGATAATTTATTCTGTAAACAACATATAATTTAATCTGTTTATGACATAATTTAATCTGTTTACAACAGATAATTAATTCTGTTAACAACAGAAAAT